GATATTTTCGGGTGATTTAAGAGGGCGGCAAGATTCGACGAATCAATTCAAAGCCCTGCTCCTGAATGCTGCAGTCACGTGTGGGGTGTGGCTTCGTCTTCTCTTTCTCTACTTGGTCGTGTTCAACGAAAGGTCATCTGGCTAGCCGATGATCATTCCCTAACCTCCAATATGCCGTCACTAGCCTATCGTTGGGCAGTTTCTTCACTGTCCATGCTCTACCGTTACTACTTTGGTTTTCGTTCTTCGGAGCTTGCCGCGGCAGTTCCTCTTCCTGTTAGTTTGTCCGTCCATCCCGTACACAGGCATCTAGTCATCCTTATCAGATTTCCATCACCAGATGACGTACTTCTTTGCTCCAATCTTCTTTCCACCGAAATGCTAAATTGTGGAACAGCCTCCCTTTTTCTGTTTTCCCCCCAACTTACAACATTACACCTTTTAAATGCAAAAACAATAAACTGGATCTTACGTGAATGTTGCCCTATTTTTCCTCTTAGAGTATACTCTTCGTCTATAGGGATTTCCCCATTTACTGTAACTCACATTATGCGTGGTAAAAAACCATTGACTCAGTGAAACCCGCAGAAGTATCATGTGTATCCACGCCTCGATATGACCTTGAAACTTTGATCGTTAAGGTAGCAACGCTCCAACACTACATTACATCACATGACCTTAAGCAATCAGACCAGTCAGCATATTGGGTCCCGTCACCCTCTATCCCTCCCTGTGTCTCATCCACCGTTCATCTTTAGTACTTCATGGTTAACAGTATCGTAAGACGGTATGGTTACACATAGGTCTGTCTGTCTCTCCTCACATTTAGTTGTCTCTCTGTTCTCGTGCATACAGTTGCTATGTGCCGATGATCGCGCACGAGAATAAAAAAGCGCAAAAACAATATGCATAAATTTCGTGATCTTACTGGCGCTTCTTTAGATGTGTAAAAAGTAATCTGGAAGGTGAATAGTATTCTCACCGCATTTTCAATATGTGCGGAAACTTGTATGCTTAGATTACTTGCGCTAGTCGTGGATGGAACAAGTGGCCACTGTGCGATTTTCCTCCTTTCACCGAGACGTGCACAGCTGTGCGTACAAGCGCGTCCGTATCTGTGTACGTGTGAAAACTGAGTGCGAACTTGACACACACACACAAACACAGTAACTACACTTGTGCAGACCTGCCTCAGTAAATGTGGACTATCGTGAGTCAAACTGCTTCTGGTACGGGTCGTGGTAAACGCCTATCGGCCATGCAGTCGGTCTATGCGGTTCACGTGGATTTCAAACCGACATATCAAGTTCGAATTCACTTCGTTCATGGACCATAAATATCTCGACTTCATTTGATCTCCGGCACCAACATCCATCAAGCTCGGTCCTTACATCTCTCTGCCCAACCCCGAACATTTCGGTGAGATTAGCGTGCCCCTTTGTTACGATCGTATGCATTAGAATTAGGTGTGTGGGGTGTCTGTTCTCGAGGGAGGGCGTGTCTCGCGGAGGGTTGTCCGCTGGACGTGATTTTCAAACGTATGATCGATTTATCTGCCATCTGGATTGGGTTGGAGTATAGTACCTCAACCCTNTTTCCACCTTTGCATCATACTCTACACCTGGCTTGAGAAGACGGTCAGGTAAGTTCAACCGCAATGCCAGTCGGAGGTCACATTCTATGGGCGAAGATACGCACATACACACATGCCTAACTATCTGTTACCCTACCACAAATGCCCGTTTTAAGTGGTTTGTCCGGTTAGCAGTATACAAAAGTCGGATATTTCCGTCATTCTTAGAACGGGTCAGAAGATGATTTTCAGTTATTTTCGTATTAGCCGATCGCTTGTCTTCTCTATGCGATATTTCTCGTATCATTTAGCATTCCCAATCACGTGGTTACCCATGTCAGTTTTTGAGGGAACCATCACTTACATGCATGACCTCTATGGTCGATTAGGGTTGCGAAAAAACACCTCAATAGGGCAATAATTGGTAAAAATTACGATTTTTAACGGTGTTGAGTGGAATCTTAAGAATAGATCGATGCTATTATCAGCCCCATGGTGGCAATAGAGAAACAGCAAAACCAAAAGTGTACGAATCACCCATATCGTGGGCTATCGCGCAATTCATATTCTGGTCAGTGTGCGTATTAGTGCAACTGGAGTGACTACAGAGTAGATTATTATTGTTGGGTCTTTTATCTCCTCCACAGCGAACTAACCACCACAAAATTAACCTTAAGGTTCGGCAAACGATACTGGATAACAGTGTCATTGCTGATTGTACGCAACACTTTCCACAACATTTTCAATCACAAATAAGGTGGATTACACTTGATTCGTTGGTGCAACTTTGGGTTATACACCTTTTCCCTTCTCGCTTTTTTAAGCGAATGTACCAAGATTAGATCGGTAGGCTCTAAGCAAAGCGGGAAAGCCGATAAACGTTTTTGCCTATGGGCCGAACTTTGTTTCGAGGACAGATGAAGTACATCAATTTAGGCAACGACCTGAACATGGTGATTCACGAGTTTATTTTTAAAATATCATGTAGGTCTGGAAAGAAATTAACGTAGCCGAAATGACCATTTGGTTTTTCTGATTTTAAGTCAATTGTCCATTTTAATCCCACATCCATATAAAACATTCTTTTTTCAGGTTTTCGCAACCCATCTATTACAGGATGGACATTTGTCTTTCCACCCCGTTTCCTCCCGTGCCTCACATTATCACACCAAACCCCAGCAGTAATGAATGGGAAATGTGTACCTGAATATGATTGGATCATTGTGAACCCCATGGGATTGCCGTTGTTTGGTGATTTGTAAGAACACATGTTCCTGTGTCCGGTCTTTGCGCTACACGTCTTGCCATGTCAGATATTTCGCGACGTTCAACAGATGAAGTTATCCTACAGGATGTTCTGTAGTAATTCAAAATTTGAATTTTGTATTTCGAAGTATTAGTTAATTACTTATATCTGTCAAGTCTCAAGTTTAAAATCGCAGTTAGATCGATGGATTCGCACTACTCATGAGGTCCAACAAACCCTAAACATGATTCACAATGCATCCCAGTTTTTCTGCTCACGCTTGGTTTGCTTTATCCCCGAAAAATTTCAGCACTTAAATTAGCTATTTATTGATTGAATCTTGAATTACTTCCGAGCAAGCTTGAATTCCCTGAACAAATTGATCCCGCCGGTTTCGTACATCCAACGATCGACTTAGATGGAATGAAAAAAAACACGTGCAATTTGGTTGATTCTCACTTATTGGAAGGTAAAACTATCCAATGATACTGTCAGTGATGCTTTGTGATCGGTAATATTGAGTATCTTCTCCTCACAGACGAAGTTCGACCGGTGGAACAAGCCATTTCATTCGGGTGGGACATTCTTCGAAACTACGTAACCATGTGTTCCCTGCACTGAGACCCTCCGTCCATTCCCCATCATGTCACCCCACACACCATAGCATTCCGTAATTGTTCGCTGGTGGTCATTATTGTCCGTACTAAATTATTAAGCTCTGGAATACGATAGTTTTAGTGTATTTCTGTTGTCTGTTGGATTGCTTGTTTTCCTTTCTTTAATTGGTTTTCATAGGTTTCGCCGGACTGATAGTCACAAAGTTATTCATAATGATTGGTATATCGCCTTCAAGATTGACTCTTCTATTGAAATTAATTGCCAGAATGTGTTCCCGTGCGTGTCCGCTCAAACCTGATCCAGACCTGGAAATTCAAATTCCCGCTCGTGTTATCCGCGGCAATTTCGAGCAGGAGATCACTAGTTGGAATCAACTTGTGGGCGTTTTCAAATTCACTTCATAAAGTTACTATTTATAACAAATAAATAGTTGTGTTATTTTCACTTTAATAGAAATTGTCTGGTCTGTCACCTTCGTTTGAAAATTAACCCCGGAAAATAAACCGATTATTTTCAAGGTTTTTGCATTCGTCGCATCAGCTTGTTTACAGTCCAAAATGTGTTTAATCTAAGTGGATATTTTTATTTCTCATATCTGAGTCCAGACCACGGGGTAATCACAGTACAATGATATTTACGAAAAAGAACAAGTTAAATGATTTGTTTGTGGGTGCGATGTTGCCGGGTTGCCCATGCCAATGCAAGTAAATTTTCTCCAACGTTCGGGGACGTAAAGCCTGACCCACAAGGCAGCGGGTGGTGTGTGGAAACAGGAGTCTATTGGGTTCCAGTGTCCAGTTCATCGGATCAACCGCCATTCGGACGGGTTTAGTATCCAAGGTGTCCAATAGATCTCGATAGCCAATCGAGCCGGTGACCACTGTCACAATCAGGAGGGTGTGAAAGATGGGTGGTTCGTACGCCTCTTTTGGGTTGGTTTGGAATCAGGGTTTCTGACCAAATCCCCCAAGTGCACTGCCGGTGGTTAACCGACTCGGTTAAAGCCCAGGATGTTAGCTCTTCATCCTTTCACTTTGATGGGAAAATACCTCCACCACGGGCAGGCAGTTAGCAGAAGGTATTTGAAACACATGTTGGTAAAGAAGCATTTTGCCAGGTGCAAGGGAAGGGTGACCAACCACAACCCGAGACACCCGCCCCCGACCCGACTGAGGCTTTCGGGGGTGAGGTGGGATTATTACTTACTCCGTTCGGTGCCTGGGAATGAAATTTCGGTAAAACTCATTACCCGTTTAATACTGAAGGGGGAACTTTTAGTGACGGTCCCGTACGAATCCGTTCCAGTTAGACTGTGTGCTTAACAATTTAAGACTTTATAATTTATCACCAGTTGACGCTGTACTATTTCTTGTAATACCGTTCTCAAATGCTCATATGAGATGATTTCACTTTTGTGACTCATTCTATTTTGTTATCCCCGTTGTCATCCTGAAAATTTTACCCCATCTCCAGATAATTAGGCTGAGTGGAGTAGAATAATTCAGCTCACGGAAAAGTACTCCTCTCGATCAGTATTCGCTCCTGGCAACGCTCCACAGCTTGATGTCTGTATCGGCTTGTCCCCTGAAGGGCCCCGCAGTACCTCAACTGCAATCCAATCCACACCGATCCAGTTTTCTTCGAGTTCAGCCGGGTGGTTTGAATGCCAAAGTATTTGCATCACATGCAACTCAACTGCCTCCACTGGTCCACAACGATCAGACTCACAACAATCCTGCTTATCCGCACTATCGGAAAGAAAGCCCAACGATAGTGAATTCCTACTCACTTGCCCCAACGGTTCAACACAAACCCGGATCATTGTCCGCCACGAGTTCCAATGCGCCCAATGTTAATGGAACTACTCAACTCCTGTTCCAATCCTCTTCCGCCAATCTCACCGACCCCATGACAGAGAGCATTCCAAACGGTTCCAATTACCGTACAATGGATTATTCGACCCTTCCAATCCCGTTTAATCAGGCCCCAAGTTACATGAGTCGTGAGCATTCCCATGATTTAAAAGCCAATACACCTTTAGCCTACCATGACAACCGTGTAGATACGGATTATATGCGAATGGATTTTAATCCGATTGTGGAGTCATTAAATTTTGCAGCCAATGGTACTCAAAACTATGACCCCGGACCGAACGGTTCGTTTGGGAGTTGGACCGCAAATGATCCTTCGTCCATGGATGTGGACACCGATCTGAAATGTCGCCTGGATTTCCGAAGTCAACTACTCTGTAACAATAATCCAATTTCACGTCTAGCGGATGATTTTCGCGTAGCAGAGCAGTTGTATTCAAATAATACGCGGCGTCCACCACACGGATTCAATGCGACTACACGTGGCCCGAGCGAGCTGGATCACTTTACCGTGGTGGGATCACGTGCAGATCCTGGGTCACAGTGTCCTCCTCAGTTCGATGTGAACGCTTATCCGACTGTGGATGCAAGAAGTCAGCCATCGGTCGGCAAACCGACAAGTGTGTCTACTGTATTGATTGGTACTAGTGGACCTGGAATGACAACTGTGACATGTCGCGGAAATCCACCGCCGATGATGTCGCCACGTTCATCAGCACCCTGTCAACCGACATCCACACAAACGCTGGTCGTCTCCGCGAGTGACAACTCCATGGTCAGTTCAGCCATGATGACGCCGGACTCGTCCACAACCGGGTTTATGACCAATAAATTTGGTGGTTCCTCGGATGATNTTCGCCAACTCCAACAAACAGCAGCGGTCGACCACAAACACCTGGTCGTGTGCGTAAAGCGGCACCCACTCTTGCAACTGGAAGACGTAACTTGAAGGGCGAACTGGTGAGTTCTGTTGGTGAATGTTACGCCTTTCCGACCACCTTCATGCACATTCACTGGCCATAAATAAAGTCACTATTTGAGCGACTTCAACTGTCGACTATCCCACCGTGTCACAGTCTAATTTGAATTTTTTCTACCATAAAATCCTCATTTTTCATTATCGCACCGTACCGCACTAGATTCCAAAGATAGAATGATCGCTATGATTTACCGCAAACAAGTACTCTCCAATTTAAATAAATTGAATAAGAAGAAATGGGATATACACACGTCACTAAAGTGCGCGTATACACACTAATATATACATGCACACACAAATATCCTACGTAGAAAAAAAAAAAGATTTTCACAAAATTTGCACTAGCGATACCGTCTAACAAGTGTCACCCTTCGGGTGAATACTACTTTGAAAAAAACCCGTATTATTATTACTCCGCCAGATATTTCGCTGGAATATGTGATACGCTGATCTAGCTGGTTAAGTGAAATCCACGGTCATTATCCCCCCTTCTCATTCCGGTGGATATACTCATGTTTAACAAACGAAGTGCACGAAGTACGGATAAACCTGACAACGCGAACTGCAGTCTTACCAGCACAAGTAAACACGTGACGCTAATGTCGCGTACTGACCTGTCCAGTACATGTAGTTTACAATTTCGAGATTTATTTCCGCTTGAACATTCAGCACAGGGATGTTATTTCCCCGCATGTAGATGGTTAAACCAAGGGGCCACCGTGCACCGGTGTGCGACCTCAAACAAGCGCTCGCCAGACCTCGTCCAGTCTCTCACAGGACTGACTCGTGGTATCGAACGTTGACATTTTCGAACAGTCATTTGGATGAGCGGCATTAAGACAATGGGTTACGTTTTCGGTTCTACTGACGAGATGATTTGCACCAACAAACTGCCGCATCTATGGAAAGACGGTTGTTATTGGTGCAGGTCTAATATTAGTGAATTGCGTTTCCTTCCATTTGATGGTAATGTGGATGAAACGATCTAAAGCTAGGATTTGAGCAATTTCACTGATAATCGATCTTTAAGACCAGTGAACGTAGTTGGTGCGTTTCTGGATGCAGAAGATAAGCCAGATATATATTTCTATCCTTTTGGACCATAATTCCCAGTGCAGTCTTTGTCAAAAGGAAACTGGTGGTAGATAGCTGGATTGATGGTTCCACATCTTTTGAGGTCTCACAACCTCGTTCGATAAATTAATCATGTTTTGAAACTGGTGGAGTGAACTGTACTGGTAGTGGTACGTGTGACAGATTATTAGTGGGCTTTTTATTTGAGGTGCGGATGGTCTAAGTGACTTTTATTTCAGTTATACTATCACAAACGGATTTGACACGTGAACACACCAACTGAAGCTGCGTCAATGTTTTTTACGTAGGATGATTAGTACTTTTTGAGCAGGCGTATGTCAGATGCACCGAAATGGAAGCGTCCCGTCAGTTACCATATGTCCTTGCTGGTCCATGTGCGAAGTGTGTTCTTTTGTGTCGGTACATACGTCGTGCTCGCTATTTTGTTGTTCCATTGCATGCGCTGTTCATCGACCATTCTCACTGGGGTGCACACGCGTGGTTAACGATTTGGTCTGACGTGTTGGGCGGCCGATCGGCGCGCTCGTGGCTTGCCCTTGAACGTACTTCGTCGACCGACAGGTGTGTATCGACTGCCCGTAACCATTCTTGGCCAACGGAGGTAAAGGGACAGCGATCGATGGTCCCACGTCGGGTCAGTGAGCTGCATCGACCAATCAGGCAAAGGCGACGCATTTGATCCTGGTGAGAGGGGATGAGTCATCCAATGTGGCTGTGGTCTATCACGAGACGGCAAGGCCAAATGCCCGGTAGACGAACGGTTGATGCGCGCGTGTGCATGCACCAATTTGTGTATAAACAGGCGGTGGTGTGTTCATGCGTATCGTGGGCGTGCTTTCGCCATCTGTGTGCGTTCGTACGTGCGTTTAGGGGACGGTTTGGGGGAGGGATACACGTACGGGAGCGAGCGGAGTCGAGAACGGTTGTCCTTCGCTTGCTACCGGTCCCTTGGGGGCCGAAAGGTGGGATCTAAGCTTAAACACTGCCAGTATTGGAAGTGGATGTCGAAGAGGGAGAGCTAGCTAGGCCAGAGGGGGTACGCCTAATTTGCTTATGCATCTGCCCCATTCCGTTCTTTGTAGTCACAGTACCGGGCACAGTCGGAGCACTAGGTCCAACAGTTGGGTCGCAGGCTGCTGATGCTGCCTCTACTGCCGCCGGAACTGAAGCTCCAGTAGAAGAGAGCACGTTTAAGGTTCGTTTGTTTTCCCGTGTATGCGTGTATGCTCCTGTGCGTGAACGATTGTGCGTTTTCGATACATAGGAAAAGAGTTAGCTGCCTGCTGCCCGGACGAGTGCCGGCAAAGCGTGACAGTCCGTCCATACGGAACAAGTGGTACGGTCAGTGGCTGTAGACAGACAATCATCTGGTGCCTACCCACCCACGTGTGTGCACACGCATGTTTACTTGATTCTAAATAGAAATTTATCTCCTTTAAATTTGGAAGGTTGACCAGTACGTGCAATCGTTGGAAGGAAAAATTCAGTCCAACCCGGTCCATTCTATCCACGTCGAGTTTTGCGTATTGACCGTGTTGGTCATTCTCTCTTCACAGAGACCCATCGGAAGATGAAGGTCAACCCTAAGGCTGGAGGAATAGAGAGATACCTTACGACTGATAACATCTCATAATATTTTCTGATTGGAGGAGTTTCTGTTAATAATTTTCATAAAGCAGTCTGGAGGGTCACTATCACCAACAACATGGGTGTAAAAGTTGTTCATCCCGATGACCATTTTATGAATACAGACAAAGTTTCTGGATCGCAGAGTTCGTACACTTTCGAGAAACTGCACGTGGTTCTTTTTGAATCATTTATTGACAAGCAGCTACCTAATAAGGTTTAACCTTTAGTACCACACTCTATGTAATACTTTTTATGAGTAATCTTTCTTAGATAGAGAAATTCGAATGGCCCATTCACAAACGATTTTGACGCACGACTGATTGGATATATAATCAAACCTCAACCTTCACAGAATCATCTTTTTTATTGTTTTGGCATGTAGCATATTATAACCAATGAAATTTTCCAGAACGGTCACATCACTTTTCTCTTTTTCTCTCTCGTCCAACTTTGTTTCTTCAATTTCATCATCGCTACGGGTCAAACAGGTCGATCCGGATGAAGCAGATCGTCGAATGAAAAGACGCGAACGAAACCGGAAATCAGCTCAAAAATGCCGTGAACGAAAGGTCCAACGAACACAAGAACTTCAAGCCCAAGTGGAGTATTTGCAATTGGAAATTAATCGTCTGACTCAAGAACGGGATAGTTTGCGAAACGAAGCTCGCCAGTTCGTTACTCTTCTTCAGCTTCATTGTCCCGGTGTCGCAATTCCTTACATGTCTTGTCTGAATGAGGTACCAGAATCATTGGAAAATAATTCCCTGGAGCTGACAAATTCCACAATAGGTAAAAATGGATCAGAATTGCGTGCAATCAATGTGTCTGCTGGCTGGAAGTCACAAGCAAACGGGAAAACGTGCTCGGTACCCGACACACAGCACAGCGCCACAGTCCAATCACAAAACGGTTCGTTTTCACCGTTACCACCAACGGTCTCGTTGCATTCACGCATGTCACCGACACGATCAAAACCGTCATTGACAATGGGCTCATCATCGGTTGATCAGTCAGATATGACGGCAGGCTTGAATGCGATAGTAACTACAGCGCACCAATCGAATGTTGATAATAGTTATCGGACCTCAGATGCCGTTTCAACGCCCATTGTTAGATGCACATCAACCGCATCGGTTCAAGGGCCGGCTTCCTCATCGTCGTCATCCTCGTGTTCCGCATATGAACTTTCCTTCGCCAATTTGGAAACACCAGTGCGTACCCCTGTCCTGAATGGTCCGTATGACGATCATCCAAATCGAGATGTCAGTCATTGTTCCAACGCGGATCAGTCAACCAGCAGCACATTCCAAATGCCTCAATCAACGGTCACCTCATCCTCCACGCCTGTTCCAATCCCGGAGGGCTTGGAACCTACAAGAATCAAATGTGAAGAATGGGACCCATGTTTTATGGAACCAGATAAAATTGATTCGATATCGCCAATCAGTCCGCGTGTACAAAGCAAACCGGTGTTTATCAACCCATTGGATACGGATATTTCTAACGGACATTGTGATTTACGGCGAACGGAATCGAGCACATCAAACGGGCCAGGGACGGATGGACCTTGTTACTGATTTTCGTCGGCATGTTTTCAAGCTAATCCTTCAGTTTCGGACTACCGTATCCGTCAAGACGTCTATCTGTTGTTCACATTCACAGCGCGTGGAGGTACTACAGAAATGTGACTTAGGGTATTCCCACTGTTTTTGGTTCACCATCACATGTATCTATGTGATGGAAGAACAATATTCAAACCAATTCCCAGGCTCTGCTACCTATCTACTTCGCTCACTTTAACTAAGCGCCTGCTGTACTATTTATTAATCTGTGTATGTGTGCGCGCGACTGTGTGTGTGTATGGGAATCCATTTGCCTGTTGAGCATTTAGTGATTCTTTTCTATCCAGTTAGCCTTTGGAATACCCCCCCCCCATAGCGTATATGCGACCGTTTGAGGTGCACTCACTTTGTCTTGGCCTTATTCTGTTTCCACCCACTCCCAACTTCAGTGGAACTCTGGTATTGACGCAGGGATGGATCAACCCATATGCCATTTCATCCCCATCTCATATCCATTCTCTTGGCAATCGGTGACACAGACTACTTGCTTTTCATGACACGATTTCCCCTCTTTTGTATTTGATTCATGAAAAGCTTGTGTTTAGTTTGGATGGCGGTGGAGTGAACCCATTTTGGATCAAGTGCACATGAGAGACATTTAGATAAACATAGACACACACACACACGCATGTATTCATACAAAGCAACATGCCAACATCCCGGTTCATTATTCCACTCGATGGTATGACCGCATGAAATCAGTGTGGGTAACAGAAGGCACACACACACAAAGTATTCCTGATACATACCTCCCCCCAGTGAAAGCGACCATCAGGAATTGTGCTAGACCGTGTGTACACAACCAGGCATGTATCAGCTGATGCAAACACTTGCAAGAGGTTCCTCTATGTTCCCAGTTTTCCCAGCAGTTGACAAATTTTAAAGTTTCTATCTTTTCAGCTTGTAGTGATTCTGATAGGGATGACATGTTTTGTTTTGGTTAGAGTTACAACTCATCCACAGCAACACAGTCCCAATCACCACAGACAAACACAAATGAACGTGCAATGTCCTTTTTTCTAATTTACTTATTTGATGCTTGCTTTAACCTCGTACTTAACCATCTCTAACTGAGTTTTTGTCTCGTGTTTTTTCTAATACTTTGTTTGATATGGTTTTATTTTAACACCAGCGGTTCTTCATGATCTGTTGCATGAGTTGGTCCTTTTTCTGATGATTTTGACCAGCGATCGCACACATCCGTGCACGCTGACACCATTTCCAGTACTGTGTTCTTATAATAAGTCCACATAATCATCCGTACAACTCAGGCTACTCCGAACTTCCATTCACTCCTCTGTCTTCGCGTGCGTAGGCCTCCGGTGCTGGAAACGGTCGCGCGCCTGCGAGCGAGCGCGCTTTAAGACCCGGTTAAACGGTTCCGATCACGGACCGATTCTCTGTCCCAATTTATTCCATCTTTTTCACTCACAATCCCGTTACATCTGCCCTTTGCCAAGTCCAAACGGGATCGCTAATAAACTTCGTTAATTTTATTTCTTTCTCTTCTTCCTGTTGTGGATGTGTCTTATCGTTTATGAAATTGTGAACATCGCTGCAGAAAGCTCATGTACTGTTCCCTTCACAAAAGCGATCGAATGCATGCATGCCTTTTACTGTATTTTCTTGGCTCCCACAGACCGTCTTTGATACACTTTTTTGTACGAAAAATACCTGGCTATTTACGGTCTTCCTCTGTTCTTCAAATCTTCTCTTTCCTTTTGATTGAAATTAGGTCAACATTCTTATTTTTGTTCAGCCCCCGAATGGGTCTCCATGAAGCAGGGTGCTTTTTTATTCAGCCACCTTAGGTATGTGTTCCTAC